ACCGCAGATTAAAGCCCTTCCCTCTAAAACTTACCGCAGCGGGTGACACGTCTGTCCCAGCCAGTCATTCAAGCCAGAAAATTTGTATCTTGACCTATAAATCTTGCTGATATTAAGTCCATCTAAATTTATTAACCTATAGTCTCTCTCTTCCTCTCTCTTTCTACTACCATTGAACTAATTCGGGCTCAGGTGACCCCTCTGGACCATGCAATACTCATTTAACATTTACTCTTTCAAATATTTGTTAGCGCTTATTCTGTTCCAGAGACTGTGCTAGACGCCGGAGTCCAGCCATGAAGAAGTGTTGCTCTGTAGCTGGCAGCAACTGCGGGCTGAGACAGGTGGCCACTGCGTAATATATCACCCTCCTGGAGATTCCTTACGAATGTTAGCATCTTAGAAGCTCTGAGAGCTGTTCAGCTTTGTGTAACCCTGTGTTCCCCACGCTTCTTTGAACAAAGAACCTTCTGGTCAGAAACAACTACTAGGTTCTCAAAACCACATCCCACAAAGCACATACTGAGACATCCTCATGAGAAGGAATGTAAAGGTTTCAACCAAGAACTTGTTATATTTATTTCCCTGAGGATGCCATATTTTTCTAGGTTCTGTCTACAACAAGCTACAATTGTTAATATATGATTTTCCCCACTTTTTAAATCAAATATGTGTGTAACTCGACATCTGTGAAGAGTGCCGTGACAGAGGTGAGCAACAAATGCAGAGAAGCACTGATTTAGATGAAGAGGGTGACAAATGGGGCTTCCTGGAGGAGGTGACATCTGAGTTAAGTTTTGAGAGATGAATAGGAGTTAATTAGGTGAAGGGCAAAAGGTTGCCAGGCAGCTGGAACAGCAGATGCAAAGGCACAAATGTGTGAGTCTAATGTGTTTGGGAAAGTCCAGCAAAAGTGGCGATTAGATTGAGAGCTTGCCCTTCACCAAGTTCTGCGCACATCACAAGCCTATGAGACAGCTTTTATTATCAACCCTACACACACACCATTTTTTTTTGTGAGGGAGATTTGCCCTGAGTTAACATCCGCTGCCAATCTTCCTCTTTTTGCTTGAAGAAGATTGTCACTGACCTAACATAACATCTGTGCCAATCTTCCTCTATTTTGTATGTAGGATGCTGCCACAGCATGGCTTGATGAGCGGTGTGTGGGTCCACATCCAAGATCTGAACCGAAACCCTGGGCCGCCAATGCGGAGCACACGAACTTAACCACTATGCCACTGGGCCGACCTCTTCTGTTTTTTTCTAACAGATGAAGACACAGTCTCAGGGAGGTTGAGTGAGATTCCTGAAGTCACATAGCTGGTGCCAGATACTAAATCTAAGACAAGACACTAAGGCCCATGTGCTCATCCACTGAACTATTCTGCCATTAAGCTGCAATACAGGAACAAGTCAAGGGCCAGCAAAAGATACGACTGGCCAGGCAGGAAAGAGCCACATTTGTTTCCCAGGTCAAGGGAACCTGGAGATTATCCAGAAGGCCACAGGGCACCATTGCAGGAACCATTGATTTGAATCACTGATTTTAAGCAGGGTGGAGGGAGAGGTGTAGTCAATCCTTCTGAAAGATGGTTGGAGGGTGGGAGACTGAGCTGGAGGGGTGGAGGTGGCATGAGAGCAAAAGCAGGGACATGGTTGGGAGGCTCTCGTGAGTAGTAAAATGCATAAGTGCTTCTCAAAGTTTCATGTGTTAAAATGGACATGCTGATTACGAGGGTCTGGGGAGGGTGTGAGATTCTTAGACGTTCCCAAGTGATGTGGAGGCTGCCGGTCCATGGACCACACTTTGAGTAGCAAGGCTTTACGTGAGAAACAATGAGGGCTTGAAACAAACAGTGGCGGTGGAATCCAAAGGAAAGGATGGACTAAGGAGATATTAAAGGGACGGGCCTTGTTGACCAAGCAGCATGAGGTGGCCACATGGAGTTGACACAGCTCCTGTGAATAGTAAAGAAGGATGTTTGAGTTAATCTGTGCAACTCTGTTCTAGAGTGATGGCTTTTTGACAGTAACTCTCAGTCCACTATGTTATGATAGGGGACCCGTGGAGATATTGGGACCCTCTGGTTAAGATTCTCCGGCAGTGTAAATTTTCAGAAGCACAAAGTCAGACGGAATAGAAAACATTTATTCAACGTACACCATGAGCGAGTCATTCCACCCTCTGGACGTGTTATTCTCCTGGAATATCTCCATGCACACACACACCCCCAGGAGTTGATCATTCCTTTCTTTGTGTCACTATTGGATCTTTCATATACTTCTTGTCACACTGCATTGGAATTCTTGGAAGCAAGATCATAGAAAGAGGATGGGTTTTGGAGTTAATTGAACTTTGGTTCAAATCATAGCTCTGTCATGTATTGGCTTGATGCTAAAAGGTAAGTATCCTTGTTTCTTCAGCTATAAAAACGGGGGTTGTATCTACGGTGAGGTCTCGCGTATCCTTTAAGATGCTTTCCTTCTGGTAACACGAAACCTAATTCACAGTAGTTAAAACAATAAAGAGAATCTACCAGCAACTGGAACAGAATAGTCCAGAAGGAAAGCAGGCTCTGGGCATAGGTTGGTCCAGAGGTTATGACATTATCAGGGTTTCTCTAAGATTCTTTCAATGAGACCCTCCTCCTTCTGTGCCCTTCATGCTAACAAAAATGGTTACAGCAGTTCTACACAGCACATCTGTATGAACACCCCAAGCAGAAATGAGAGAGAACACTTTTGTCTTGGTTTTCCCAGAAAAAGTGAGGAGATTCGCTGTAACTGGACCACTGCAGGTCACATGGCCATCTCTGATCCAGTCGCTGTAGCCAGGGGAGTGAAACGCGCTGGTCGGCCTAACCTTGGTCTTGTGTTCCATCCCTTGAGCCAGGAGTGGAATCCCTTCCCTGGGACCCCCAAACAGAAACCAGGAACTCTGGGGAAGGAGAGTGGAATGGATGCTGGAGGGGCGCCGACGACTCCTCACTGCGCCACGCCCCTTAGCACATTACGTAAAGGGCGGAGCACAGAACCTCATCTGCCTCTGGTGGGCGCATAATAAGCAACAGCTGTAATTTGCTTGTAAGTCTGTCTACTGGACCATAAGCAAACTGAGAGCAGGGTCCTTCTGTTATTCACCTCAGGCATCCCTCATGCATAGCTTAGCACCGGGGACTTAGACAGCTTAAATAGTTGTTGAATTGATGTTAATGATTGGAATGGGAAATACAAAGTGATAAACTCATAGATATTATTTCAAAAAAAAAAAAAGAGGATTGCATGACTTCAGGGAATATGAAAACATAAACTGTGGCTGGTTCACAGCATTAATAAGATAAACAAGCTGGATACTGCTGAATTATAGACTGGGTTAAAATGCGATATATTTCAGTCCATATGTTAGGGTCTGCTATAATTTTTGGTCAATTCAGAAAAAAAAAATACTCAATAAAGTGTCACGGTCTGCTCTGCCTGTCTTGGGAGTAGGAGGGAAAGCGATCAATCTTTTTCTTTTTTCCCCCACAATATGTGATCCCATATTATATAGGAAAATAAATTAAGAGAAAGGCTGATCCGTTCTATCATTTTGTGTATCTTAAATATCAATCTCAATGTAAAAGATCCTAACATTGATGGGGCCAGCCCGGTGGCGCAGCGGTTAAGAGGGCACATTCCGCTTCGGCGGCCAGGGGTTCACCGGTTTGGATCCTGGGTGCAGACATGGCACCGCTTGGCACGCCATGCTGTGGTAGGCATCCCACATATAAAGTAGAGGAAGATGGGCATGGATGTTAGCTCAGGGCCAGTCGTCCTCAGCAAAAAGAGGAGGATTGGCAGCAGTTAGCTCAGGGCTAATCTTCCTCAAAAAAAAAAAGGTGCTAACATTGATTGATCCCACTGTGAGCCAGGCACTGTCCTTCAAGCTTTCCCATATGTGATCTCTCTTAATCCTGAGTAAATTGAGGCTGAGAGAGGTTCGGCTCCTTACCCAGGGTCACACAGCCAGTAAATGAAGACCAAGGTGCTGAGAGGCACGTGCCTCAGAATCACTCTTCTTGTTGTTGGAAAAGATTTCCTTGTAAAAACCTCGGGGACTTTACAAGAGAAATATTGAATTACTATAATATGACTCACCAGCCCAATTTAATATTACCTATTCATTATAATGTAATGAGGCTTGCATAAGAGAGAAGGTGCTGTTGCATTTCTCCCTCCGGCTCTGTAGTGGCCACGCATAGATCACAGAACTATAAAATTGGCTAATTACATGACCTACATACGCCATCAATAGTAAGAAACATTTTAACTGCTCTTATTTATGTGGTTGAAAATGTATAGTCTAATTCTGGTCAGCAGTAGCATCTAGGTAAGGCTGACTCAGAAGGAAGACATTTGTTGTTGCCATGAGAAGTGGAATAGAAAAGCTGAATCACGCTGTACCACATCAAATGTTACCACTATTAATACAACATGTGCTGAATGGTGAGCAAGACGGAACTAGACCGTCTCTGACCAACAGGTTCATCATTACACCAACAGACAGATACAAACAATTTTGGCACAGTACTATGTCACTTCATTGTATATGTTACTATCAACCAAGCTTATAATTAATGGGCGGTCCTCTGTTCAACGTCGCCAGTGTAGTGTACCATTGAGAACAGAGGTTGCAAACTCAATTGCCTGCAGAGGCCAGGCGGATAACGCAAATGAATGCGTTGGGCAGTTTGCAAGATGGTAGAGAGCGAAGTCTGGTAAGCTGCCTCATGGAGGCAGATACTGCAACACACTTCTTAATAGAAAACCATAGCAACCACGGCGCAGAGCTTCCGATTTTTCAGGAGATATGAAATTTCCTGAATCTTCAAACCTTGTGAGTGCCATAAAAAGCATGCTGAGGGCCAGATTTGGCCATTAGTTTGCAACTGCCAATAATCTAGAATGTCATCATTTTAGCTTTTGGAAAAAAAAAAAAAAGGATGTCATACAAAAAATGGAAGCAACCACATCTAGTTTATTGTTGAGTGAGTAACTGTTGACTGCTGGATACTGAGAGCTCCATTCTCACCAGCATCCAAAATTATATCTGGAACGACACTGGGCTTTATAGGAGTGTTTATCCTCACACTGCTTCTGGCCTCACACCTAGCATAGGAGAGAAAAACACTTTTTAAATAGCACCTGCTCCTTGAGTCCATATGGAAAAAAATAAAACCGAAGTCTTGAAAAATGCTAAGTTAATCTGAACAGCATCTATTTAGCTCAAGAGTCTCCAGTCCTTTGGCTCCTTTGGCCATTTCCCCCAGTGAAAGGCCTGTTTTGAAGGACTTGGCCTCCAAACTGGGTGTAGTAAGTAGTATTGACTTTTAATCAAACGAAGACAAGAATTAGTACCTGGGTTTCTTTCTCCAGCTGAAATCTTGCACAGTCAAGTTGTGGATAAATATTTGCTTTGAAATGCTGAAAATACGGCAGACCCAGCATGACTATTTTTTAAAAACATTTAAGGGCCTGGTCACTTCACTCATTCACTTCTTCAACACAATTCTGGGGGTGCCTATTGTTTATTTATCTATCCAACCAATATTTAGTCCAAGCCACTATTACTTCTCACTTACTCTCCTACTGTATGCTTTTAACTATCTCTTCTTTCACTCCTACCACATTCTCCGTTGTTTAGACTTATGGTAAAATTTGCCAATTTGACCTTCCAACTATTACCTCTGTGGAAGACACAGAATCTAGAAGAAAATAGACAGGTTCTCAAGGCTGCCCTTGCCAACACAACCTACAATGAAAGAACAAACATCACAACCGTGACAAATAATCAGATGCGTAATGTCCAAAATTTTACTTTACAACTGGAATTTCCCAGACGCGTGGTCCACATTAATCAGTTTAACCAGACAATGACAAAAATATCCACCTTACTGTATGCTATGATCTTTTGGAGTCCCACTTGAAAAAAAAAGGGTCAAAGATACCCAAATCAAAAACCACTGGAATGAAACATGAACAAACCCCTCCCCACTATCCAACAAGCCCACCTCCCAAGTCCTGATCCCCCACCCCACCTCTCCTGCCGGCCAGAATCGTCCCTGCTGGAGAACTGCTCACAGGACACTGAATGTCCTACAGTTGGGGACGGGAAAGGACAAAGCTCTGTTCCCATTCCTCGGCCTGGGTCTGGTTTGGCCACAGCCTGTATGGCCACATAGACCTTCCGTCCCAGAGTTCTTCAATTCTTCCTGCTTGTCATTTTCTCCAGTACACGATCTTTCATTGGGTTGATGTACCACTTGCCTAGATTTGGACACGTTATCTTCATATTTTTAGTGTTATGATATTGTAATAAACTTCTATCTTTTTTTTCTTTGGAATGATTTCTTTAGGATAAATTCCCAGGAGACTGGTTACTTTATAGCTGGTGACACATACTCCTTTCAACAAAAGGGGACGCCTCAATCTATTCTCCCATCGGCAGTGTATAAGCACGTTAGTCTCATCACACTCTCATTGAATGCATCTGTTAAAGACTTCTGATTTATCATTCATTTCTGTCTTCTTCCATCCTGTGGAAGGCTGAACTTGCTTAGGTTCCAGTTTTCCTTTTGAGACAAGTGTCTCAGATACTTGCTGTAGTTGTCTATTTGAGACAACAGAAATTTTTTAAATCAAAGTTTAAATAAACCAGTTCTGCTTGATGGTCTTCATTCCTTCATTCAAACACAAATATTTATTGAGGATCCATTATCTGCCAGGTTCTTTGGGGAGCTTGGGATGGATAATTGAGCAAAATAGACAAAGAATCCTGCCTTCCTGGAGTGTGGGGGAACAGAACAGTGGAGACATTGTAATAAATGTAATAAGTAAGCAAACTATATAGGATAGTAGAAGATGTTATGAGCTATAGAAAAATAAAGGAGAGCAGAGTCAGGAGGATTGGGAGAATATAGGGGGAAAGGGGACTCAGTACAATTTTAACCAGTTGGTGGGGTAAACCTTATGAGAAGATACATTTGAGCAACAAATTGAAGGAGTTGAGGGAGTTGGCCATGAGGTTACCATGTGGAAGAGCTGGTGCAAAGACCCTGTGGTATCCAGCCTCCAAGATGGCCCCCAGTGAGCCCTGCCTCCTGGTATTCATGCCCCGTTGGGGGCTGGATTTAGGAGAGAATAGAACAGAATGTGGCAGAAGTGAAAGTGTGTGAGTTGAAGACTAAGTCATAAAAGTCACGTGTTGGCGTTCTCTCCAGGGCTCTTTCTCTCTCCTGCATCTCGCATTCTGGGGGAAGCCATGCCCAGTGGAGAGGTTCACGCGGTGAGGAACTGAGGCCTCCAGCCAACACCCATGTGAGTGAGTTTGGAGGCAGATTCTCCAGCTCCATTCAAGTCTTCTTAGAGTGCAGCCCCAGCTGACATCTTGACTGTAACCTCACCAGAGACCTTGAGCCAAAACCACCCATAAGCCACTCCCAGATTTCTGACCCACGGAAACTCTGTGAGATAATAAACGTATGTTGTTTTAATTACATTTTGGGGGGATTGGTTACACAGCAACAGATAGCTAATACAGACCGTAAAGCAAGAGGGTGCCTGGAGAATGTGAGGAAGAGAGGAAAGCGGCAGGAACCGAGGACAGGGGGTCAAGGCAGTGGGGTGTGGTGGGGCCTCCAGACCACTATAGGAATCTTGGCTTTCCCTCAGAGTAAGATGGAGAGCCGTTGCAAGAGTTTTTTCTCAGAGGAGTGACATGAGATGACTTACTGATCTGACAAGTGAAAAAGAAGGTAGGATTTTCAGCACTTTATAACAAATTATTTTGTATTCATGATAATTCAGAAAAGCTTTTTTTTTTTTTTGCCTCTGTTGCCTCTGCTTTCTGGGGTTGGTTTGTTTGCTTTGGGGGGTTTTTTGGTGGAGGAAGATTAGCCCTGAGATAACATCCATTGCCAATCCTCCTCTATTTTATATGTGGGTCACCACCACAGCATACATGGTGAGTGGTATAGGTCCGTGCTGGGGATCCGAACCCGCAAACCTGGGCTGCCAAAGGAGAGCACACTGAACTTAACCACTAGGCCACAGGGCTGGCCCTTCTACTTTCTGTTTTTGATTATCCTATCAGCCTTGTGTTTTCACCCAAGTCTTCTTTGGATATTTCCACTATGATCTTGAAGTGAACCTTACGTTCTAGTACCTTCCGTATCTCGAAACCTCATCCTTCTCCCTCTATGCACCAATCCAGAAACAATATTTTGGATCCTGCCTGACTTCAGCAGGGCTATTTTTAAACCTTTGTTTAAAATCCAGACACTCCCTCTTTTAGAGGCTTACCCTAGGCAGTACCAAACAGATTAAAATGCACTTGCACGGCACATTATATTTAATATAGATGATATAATAATATGTATTGAGCTGCAGATGACTGGCCAACATTATATTCTGTTTTAAAGACATTTAAACTCATTCACTTTGATTTCCTGACATACCTTTTGGCTTTTGAAGTCATACCCGTGTGTATGTATGTGTACACATTTCAATGTTTTTATAAATCCTTAGAAAGGTCAAAGAATTTAAGCACTGTGCTCACGGTACCCAAAAGATAAGATAGCCCACAACTAGGTTTTTTATATCCTTTAAAACAGAGTTTCTCAGCTTGGTCTGATTGATGTTTTGGGCCAGATAATTCTGAGCTGTGGGGGTGTCCCGTGCATTACAGGATGTTTAGCAGTAATTCTGGCCTCTACCCATTAGATGTCAGTAGCACTTCTCCTCCAGGCTGTGACAAGCCAAAATGTCTCCAGACACTGCCAAATATCCCCTGGGTGAAGGGTTGCCAGATAAAGTACAGAACTTCCAGTTAAATCTGAATTTCAGATAAACAACAAGTAATTTTTATTCATATGCCCCAAATACAACATTTGGAATGCAGTTATACAAAAAATTACTCATTGTTTATCTGAAATTCAAATTCAGCTGGGTGTGCTGTATTTTCATTTGCTAAATTGGCAACCTTACCTCAAGGGCAGAATCACCCAGAGTTGAGAACCATTGCCCTCGATATTAATTCCACCCTCTGCCCCCCTCCCCTTCCTTCTTCACGTGATTGAAGTAGGGGCATATTACTTATCTCACTAGCCAGCAAAGCCCAAGGAATCTACTTTCTCCCATTTCAGGAGGTCTCTATGCATGAATGTAACTAATGCCAATGTCAGTACTCATTTATGCAGAAATCAACCAACAAGGAGTCTTGAACTCCTTTGGGCAAGGCATTGGGCTGGAGGCATAAAGAAGAAATACAAAGCATAGTCCTTAACTTTGATGAGCTTCAGTCTCATTGGGACAAAAGACAACATACATGAGATGACTTGCAATACAAAATAATATATAATTAAGTACTAAATTGTGTGGTGCAGACTAGAAATGTTCTGAGAGTTGGGAGAGGTGTCATAAAAGCCAGAACAGGCAGAAATTGCTTCATGGCTGAGGATGGGCTTCAAAAACCAACTTTAAAAGATAGAGTAGGTACTCAATAAACATTTGTTGACTAAATGGATAAACGAATGAACGAGCAGTAGGTACTCCAGTGAATTCTTAACTTGAGTTCCCCACTGCCATTGATAGTACACGGCCCTTCAGTTCAGGGGAGGTAAGATATAGTGAGAAAAGCGAGCAGATAACCCAGAAGTCAGTCAATTATTAGCTTTTGGATTTCCAAACAGGCTTTGAAAACTCATCATGGAAGGATGACTTTTAAGTAACTCTCATAGTCCAAAATCTTAGCTCTGAGCGTCTGAAGTCAAGTCCCAAAGGATTCAGGGCATAAGCTTCCTGCAATAGATTAGTGAAGAATAAGGCAAGAGTCAGAGTAACATAACTTGAGAGATTCCTTAACAGGAGGAGGTGAAATGGAAGTGGAGGGACGAGGAGAGCCATCCCTGGGGCTGAGAACGGAGAGACTGGGTCTGGAAAGACTGTTGGAGAGGAGCTGAGTCTGCCCTAAAAGGTGCCCCAGCCTCTCTGCAAAGAGCACTGGACCTCACGCAAAGGGGAGCTGGGTGAAGGCTCAGGGACGCCCGAGTCACTGCCAGAGCCAACGCCAGCCTCGGCTCACGCCCGGGAGCTACATGGCAATTCTCCATCGCCTGCATGTTGGTTTTCCAGCAAGACAGACACATCTGTGGCTCAGATGTGGCCCGGCCCTCTAAGTTACCCTGTGTGGTCAAGCCCTACTTTCCTTAATTAACCCTGGGGGAAGGATGGAAGGGAAGCCCGCAATGACTGCAGCCAGCACGGGGATGAAACACTGACCTAGCAAAAACATATTTGATTAAGGAGTAAAATTCAAATAAAAAAGAGGGAAGAACACACCACCGTAGAAGGGGACACATGAGCAAATGTCAGCTGTTCTGATGGGAAAATGAAGAAACCAGTCTTTGGCAGAGAAGCCTAGCGGGGAGTAGTAAGTTGTTAATTTTCTCCTTTAACATTTGTCTGTACCATTCATCATTCTTTCTACACGTTCCCATTTAAAAATTGCCGCCTCTTGCCTTCGCATTACAATCGACTACTTTATACACCTACTTTTTTTTTTTTTACATACTGAAAAGTTTTTCATTTCTTCAGGTAAAAGCATAATTGCTCCAAACTGTTGAGACACGACTCAAGACGTACACATTGCTCTTCATAATTTCTCCCAGAGGGTAGAATAAACTGCTTGCCATCAATAACTCCATTCAGAAATTTCACACGTCACCTGCAGAAAATTCTCTAATATCATTCTCACAAATTCATGATTGGCCAAAAGCCTGGAAACTGAGGTTCACTTTAGTATTATTTATCGTTATGGAGAAAAAGCAGTCTGCAAAAATTTGACAGATTATCATTTCTGCCTGGTGGGTTTCTATCCTACAGTTAGGTATATTAATTTAATACTTCATATCCCTTTATTAAATCCTTAAATATTATTCAGCATTTTCTCTGGCATTCAACTCTTACATAAACTGATTTTTTTCCCCACTTTCCTTTAGGAGCAAACACAATAAAATAAACTAGCCAAAATGTACAAGAACCTTTATTGACACACATTTTTTCCCCCTAAGAACATTGTCCTAATCTTCAATTTAGAGGCCTGCTATTGAAGAAATCAAGTGAATAGGGAAAATTGTCACTTTGGGTTAGTTTTTGTTTCAATTTTCTGATTTACAACCCTTCACAGAAGACATTCAGATAGAATGATGCATGAAAATTTAATAAACCTGAAACCTGGGCTCTCCCTATAACTTTATTCCATTTGTTCTAACCCTGTTCAAGTTACAGAATCAAAAGCTAAGTGTTGAGTCCCAGGAAGAGAATTCCATCTCCCACAAGTCAAATTAACTTCCCGAGAACTGCTGACTGTTCCCATGACATCCATAACAGTCCAATTATAACAGTGAAACAACAGAAAGGGACCTAAAATGCAGACGCAGTAGATACAGAAAAGGTAGCCACAGAAAGATCTAATGTGACCTTGAGGCATGTGTGTATACGTCCATAAACAGGATAAATGTATAAATGTCGGCTGAACGCACCTCTACATATACATACATATATCTATTTTTTTGGTGAGGAAGATTGGCCCTGAGCTAACATCTGTTGCCAGTTTTCCTCTTTTTACTTGAGGAAGATTGTTGCAGAGCTGACATCTGTGCCAATCCTCCTCTATTTCATGTGGGATGCCACCACAGCATGGCTTGACAAGCGGTGCTAGGTCCACGCCCAGGATGCGAACCTGTGAACCTGGGTCACCGAAGCAGAGCACATGAATTTAACCACTACACAACCAGGCGGGCCCCTAGAGAAATCTTAATACGGCATTTTTTTCCTACTTATGCTCAAACAGAACGGTTTCTGAGAAGTCACTTGGGAACGATTCCAATTCCAAATTTTCAGCTCTATGAGAGTATATACACACAGAGTAAATAGGCCAACATTTGGAAGAATTCAATAAATGACAAAGGACACATAGAAACAGATAAGGACAACTTGTACCTCAATCCAAAGTTAAGGCATAAATCTTGTATTCACAACAAAGACGATTAGAAAAGATTACAGGCTATAAATCTCATTTCTTTTACATATTTCCCAGAATATTTGTACCACCAATCACACAAAACAGCCAGTCATTTGCAGCACCTAACTAAAATGTGTTTATTTTTCATATATACTAAATCACAATTACACCAAAAACTTAATATCCATATTTTATACGTAAAATTTAAATTTAAAAATGAAGCAACTCGTGTGCTTTTATAACACTTTTCCCCCAAGATAGGAAAAGAGCATTCTAGCTCCACAGCCTAGAGGGAAAGGACACTGACACAAGTATTAGAAAATGAACACACACAGTTCTTCACCACGAATATAAAAAAGGCAACATGCAGACACGGCCGGTATTGGACCAACTCTTTGACCCTGGTATAAAGTAAGAGCATCCATCACACTGGCCGAGCGCTTCACTAAGAGGCATCATCAAACACTGTAATATCTCAGTGCCAAAAGGGCTTGAAATCGAACTGGAATCAACTCGCAGCCCCACGCCTTCACAGAATTCACAACCCATGAATTCCATCCACTGTCAACCTAGAGGGAAGATGTAGTTGGTTCTTTTATTCGGTAATTATCTGGGTAGCTGGCTGAATTTCCATTTCCAGGTCTCATAGATTTGTCATCCTATAGAGAGGCTGTGGGGTCGGAGTGGATGACCACCCACCTGTTACGATTTCAGGGGTCCCAGAAAGCAATGTGAAGTGTAATTCTGTAACAGTCGTGAGCCGGTGGACATCGCCCACAGGCAGGCACACTGCATGGACCACCA